GAGAGGGAAGAGGCTGGAGAGTGAAGGAGAATGGAAGGAAGGAAGGAAGGAAGGAAGGAAGGAAGGAAGGAAGGAAGGAAGGAAGGAAGGAAGGAAGGAAAGAAAGAAGGAAGGAAACAGAAGGAGGAAGAAAAGAGGGAAATTAAGGAACATCTAGGCCAAATTTCGAAGCTTGGACAGAGACTCCAAGAGGTAGACCTGCAAGCATCCAAGCTGCTTTAAACATCTGCTGACCACAGATTCCCCACAGTCTATCAATGCAACAACAGCCACCTCCCCAAATCCCAGCAAAAGCTAAGCTGAAGGACAGAAGGACTCCCAGTCACAGCCCTGAACTCTCCTACCTTCCTGGGCTTCAGTCTTCTCTTTGGCAGGCCGCCTCGAGGGCCCATGCTTGAGTTTCCCTGGTGTGTGAAGAGGACCCGTCTAGCAGTCCTGGCACTTACCTGTGAGGTGTCTTCCGCAAGGGGAGGAGGCACGGTGTCCAAGGTCACACTCCTGGCAGTGGCAGAGCCAAGGTTAGACACCAGGTCTGCTGGTCTGACCCAGAGTACTCTATTGTGTCTGTCAGTATGAGAGGCACAGCTGAAGGGCCTCAATTATGTTATGAATATGCCTTGACCTTGTTGCTCAACAGGCCTTGGGGTAGGCACTTTCTCGATACAGGCGTGGACCACATGAACACTCCAGGCAGACTATGTTTAGATCTGCCTTGAACCGGATGGTCTGCAATGATTTGTTTTTCATTTATTTGGGGCAAAGCTAAGCCCAGCCTACTGAAGGAAGGAGAAGACAGATGTCCCATTCCCTCTCCTTGTGCTATCTTCTTCGCAGGCTTAGCAACCCAGCACTGCCCCAAACCTGTGAACCCCCATTCAACAAAGAGAAAGCCCCTCATCTCACTGAAGTGTTCTTAGACGAGACCACCTGGTCCTTCCCGTGGTGTCAGGAGGTCGGTACATAGAGAACTTTCTCCCCATTCCCTGTCCCCAAAGAAGCTTCCTTCGGTAATATCCGGTGTTCTCCCTTGACAAGTTCTGGCAAACAAAAATGACTCCACGCTATGATATCTAGGTGACCTACTATTGACCAACAGTGCTACCACAGTGAGATGGCTGAAGCCTAACCTTGGGAGGGAGCATGCCTCCGAAACCAGCTGCACACCAGGCACCCGTTGGCCCCAAGATCTGGGAACTACTCACCCTCAGCTCACTGATGTAGGAGCCGAGACCGAGCCTACCGTCCCTTCCTGGGACTCCACAGCTCACGACCTGCCTCTCTTGGTCCACTAAGTGCCTTGGAGATCAGCTTCCCTGCCCTCTCCATCAGGACCCACTCCCTGGGAGGTGCCAGCAAGATCCCCAGAGGTAGACCCAAGCCTGCCCACTCAGCCCTCACACCTGCAATCTAAGCGGGCTTCCTGGGTCCCTTGTCCTGCAAGTCCTAGCTCCAGCCTTGCATCTCCCGGAGACTGCCCCCACCTTCTTTTAGTGCTCTTCGGCACCAGTTCCCCCAAAGGGTTAAAAACGGGAACCAAATAATTTATTTCGAGATCTTCAAAAAACAAATTCAAATTTTTTTTAATTATGTCAAATTAAGGCCATTAAAAGTTAAGCTGTGTACCAAGAGCATTTTCCTGAGAAAGGTGCCGGAACATCATTATTTCTCCCCAAAACCCACTTACTGTACGTTTCTCAAAGCCATCAGCCTTGATTGAAGGCTAATGAAAAAGCTGTCCTACGTCGGTTTATTCCTTGTATCCATTAAGAATAATTACGGCTGAACAATTTTTGATGCCTGTAACCTTCGAAAGCGTTGCTAATGGCATTATAAATTGCTTCTTGTCCAATGACTACGGCGGGATGCTTAATTCAAAGGCGCTCTGTCAACAGGACTGATTTGTGTGGCTAATGAGCACATTTAAAACAACAGCCTGGGCTCATGCATCCGAATGTCAATAAGAGGACGAGGTTCAATAAGGAGGCTTGTCCGTAGTAATTAGTAGGGACAAGCACTCTAGATCAGGTCCACTGTGGCTTCCACAGCCCTGCTGGAGACGTTACTGGTGTCCCTGGGGCCCATCCCAGAACTGGTCTTCATTGCTGGGCTGGGACTAGAACCCAGGCAGTCAACCAGGGCAGGAGCCAATGGCAGAGGAGGAGGTGTTGATCAGGGTGTACAAGACAGTGACAAGACTAGCTGCTGTTTATCAAGCACTCAAGGCGTTCATTCCATGGACATTTATGGAGCACCTGTTGTGTGTAGGGGGTGCCACTGTAAGCAGGACAAACAGAGCCTAGACTGTGGGGCCAGCAAAGCGTGCCCTAAGCCGTAGCCAGAGAACCTGACAAGTCACCCTGGGGAGAGGGGCCCTGAGAACAGCAAGCAGGGGCCCAGAACCAGCATGGAGCAGTGGAAGGGAGGCTCAGGGTAAGCGTGAAGGGCCCTCGGGGGCTAGCCAGTCCTTGGCAATGAAAGGAAGTCCCACCTGCCGGGATGCAGGGTTGGCAAAGGTCCAGAGTGGGCATGGACGGGTCTGTGGGAGGCAGGCGTTTGGGAGGCATCAAAGCACTTTCAAGTGTTCTCTGCCCAGCCTCAGAATGCCTTCTCTCACCCCAGCTCTTAGAGACTCAGCGCAGACGACACCTCCCTCAGGGGGTCAACCATGATTTCTTCTTGCTTTGATGGTTAGGCCGCAGCTCCTTGCTGGTATGAAGACAAAACAGGTTAGTATCTGCCATCTCCTAGGTGGCCCTTTGCCAGGACTGGACTGCTGTCCCGTTTAACTGTTCCTGGCATTCCCACTGCCTCTTCATGGCATAGCATTCCCTGGGTATTAGGGTGGGAGAGGAGATGGAGTTGGAGGAAGTGCTCAGGTATAAAGTAACACAGCACCTCAGGACCCCCACTTTGTCCTAGACGTGGGCACACGCCACCTTGGCTCAGTTCAACAGCCTCAGTCACCAGGCCTGAGTGCCGGGCCAAGATGTGAGGACTCAGAGGCCCAAAGGCGTTTGCCTTTCACACAGCTGAAGAAAAGCCAGCCAGTGCTTGAAGCTGGGCAAAGGCAGATAGATAAGTGACTGAAGGAGCCACCTGGTGAGCACTGGGCTGGAAAAGAAAACCAGAGAAGAAAGTGGCTAAGAGCATAGGCTCCAGTGACCAGGGTTCAAATCACAGCTCTTTCAGACAGAAGCTGTGAGACTCCAGCTGCAGAGACTTCCGCTCGACACTACGGCTCCTCTCTCCGTGAGCCGGGAGCAAGGCTAGAGCCTGCCTGGAGCGCCATGGCGAGGGGCAGATGGGTGACAACGTGTGTGTAGTGGGCCATGCCTGGTCCCCAGCGCTCTGTAACTGACCCCACTGTGCTATCAGATGCACGAAACAAATGGGTCCTTGTTGGGTCAGAAAGAAAGCAAAGATGCCAATGGAAGCTGAGGGTCCCTTGGCTGGCTACCCTAAAGTCTGCGAGTCGGTCTAAAAAGAGCACGCTCCCCCGCTCCACCCACTCAGCCTGAACACAGCAGCCCAGAATGCACATCTGTGTCTTCAGGAGGGGGGATGCATGGTGAGGATAGATTGGTGCAGCCACACTGATCTGCATCAGACTGGGGGCCGGGTTGTCCTGGGACAGCCCTAGGCCTGCAAGGAGGGCTCCAGGTGTTTGCCTGCAGGAGCCTAGGAGTAGCAGACATGGTGGGGGGTCACTCCCTCAACCGCCTTCCCGCCAGCTCTCTGTCACCTCCAGGGCTCTCCAGGTGCAGGCTGACAGGCTCTGTTTCCCTACTTCTGGTGACAAGGCTCAGATTTCTATCTCAGGGAGAGGTGCTCGGGAAATCCCAGGATGAATTGATAAACAGAAAGTTTGCCCCATTGGTCTCCAAAGAGTGTGTTTCCTAAGTCCTTCAATTCTTTTTTTCCAAAGAATACTTAGAATAACATTTCCATAGTTATTAATGCATATGAATTGTACATGTCAATGAGCTTTGTGGCGCCATTTACATGACACATGCAATGTATCATGCTTTGACTGTACCCTCTAACCACCCTAGCTTACTCTTCTCCTCGCCTCCATCCCCTAATCTCTCCTAGTACTGTCTTTACTACTGTCAGGCCATTTGTTATTATTAACTTCACATGAGAAAATACATCAATAGTATGTTTGTGCCTGATTGATTTTGCTGAATATAATGTCCTCCAGTTCCATCCATCCCTGCAAATAACATGATTTTATTCTTCTTTATGACTGAATAGTACTCCACTGTGTGTGTGCGCGTGTGTGTGTGTGTGTGTGTGTGTGTGTGTGTGTGTGTGAGTGTGTTGCATTCTCTTTGTCCATTCATCTATTAATGGACTCCTAAGCTGATTTCATGGCTTGGTTATAGCGACTGATGCTGCAATAAACACATGTGTGTCTCTACTGCACTCTGCTTTTGTGGGTTATACTCAAGTGGTACACTAGGATCATATGTTCATTCTCTTCCTAATTTTTTAAGAAGCTTCCACACTACCTCCAGTGGCTAGACCAATTTTACATTCCCATCAGCAGTGTAGAAGAGTTATCCCTGCCCCCTCTCTGTGTTCACCAGCATTTGTTGTCTTCTAAGTTTGGGCTTTGATCATTTTGATCTGTGGTCTGCTGACTAAAGCCCCTTTCTCTTTCTGCCAGGAGACAGATAGTGAAGGAGCTAGTGTTACATCTGAGCTTCCAGCCTCCATTCTCTTCAGGACGATGGGTGTAGAGAATGATCAGTCTCTCTCTGATTTGAGCCTGATTTTCAGTCCCACGGCAGAAACTGTCTGCAGCATATGGCAGGCCCAGCCTGCTACCACACAACCGTCTCTGGTGTCAGGACAACACTCTAGTTTCCTCTAGAGCCATGAGTCTTTTCTTTCTTTCTTTCTTTCTTTCTTTCTTTCTTTCTTTCTTTCTTTCTTTCTTTCTTTCTTTTTCTTTTCTTTTTTTTTTTTTTTGGTTTGTTTGTTTGTTTGTTCTCTGTGTGACAGCCCTAGCTGTCCTGGAACTCACTCTGTAGACCAGGCTGGCCTCAAACTCAGAGATCTGCCTGCCTCTGCCTCCTGAGTGTTGGGATTAAAGGTGTGCGCCGCCATCACCCAGCCATGAGTCTTTTCTTCATTTGCCTTTGTCTCAGCCGACAGCCTTCCTTTTGCTGCCACGATGACTAACCCCCCCCCCCCCCCGCACCTAAGCATCGTCCTGACTGAGCCACCTTCTCATGGCTTTGTCCATCACCTCCAGGGCACCAACCCAATTCTCTCTCAGACACTGAGCCAGATCTAAGTAGCCCAATGCCCTTTGAACGTGGTTTTTCAGACAGTGCCCAGGGGTTAAGGGTCAGCCCAGCTAAAGCAAATGTCACTTTGGTCCTCTGCATGTACCATCTCTCAAAACGCTACCATTACTCATCTACGCAACTGACCAAGCCAGAAACTGAAAAGGAAATCTGTTAAATCCTGGCTCTGCCACTTGCCACCTGTGTGACCACAGAAAGTTTCTTCGTCTCTTCAGCCCTCAGTTTCCCCACCTGAAAAACAGAGATAGTAATGGTAATATTAAGGTTGCCCTGAACCGTGCGGGGGGGCTAATACGTACAAAGTCAGGAAAGTTAAACCCACTGCACTTCACTGCCTGTTTCAGCCCTTGCCTTGCTGCCATTATTTTGCCACAGTTTATAACAAGTTCAGGACTGCAAAAATCTGTCCTTGCTTGCTCTGGTCTTGTCACCCTCACTGGATGACTAGCGTGGGCCTGGAAGATGACTGAGATGGTATCCTCTCCTGACAGTGAGGTGTCTGGAGCTGGTTTCTTCAATGAGGCCTTTCAAGGCTTCAGGCTTCCCATGAGGCTGGCAGACAGCACGCCCTGGACTTGCATAGAGGATAAACCCATTCACCCCAGAGGGAATATGGGAAGGAAGAGGAAGGGACTGGGGTCCCACAGTACCCTTTGCAGACAGTGACCTAAAATCTCTCTCCCCCATTAACACATGGGACTTTAGGGGACATTCAGGGTCTAAACAACAATAGCATTCATCCCCCCCCCCCAGCCTCTAGGAGCAGGCCCCTTGGAGTATGCCCTCTTACCCATGCACCCTTGTCCAAGGGCCATGCAGTATAAGACATAAAAGCCTGACTCAGGTCATCCCCTGCGGAATCTGCTGGGGTTCTGATGTGGGTGCATAGTAGCCAAGTCTCTCCCTCCAGCCTGCTTCCCTGGACTCCCACAGGTATGGTTGTCCACATGACTCACAGAAATGCCCCCCACCTCCATCCCCACCCCCACTTCCATTCCCACCCCCCACCCCAAGCCCAGCAGATCTCCAGCTCACAGTTCACCTCCAGGGAGCCTGACCTAAGATGGCCATCTCCCCTCTGCTGGATTAGGTGTTCATTCTTGGCACCCTCACCCCTTCCATCAGATTCTCCTACAGAAGTGAGTAAGATTCCCAGGTCCCTTGTCCATCGATGGAGCAGAAGCTATCCAAGATGGATCACAGCAACTCATCTCAGACTGTAGCAACTGTTTGGTGCCTGCGATCATCCCAGGACGCTTAGACTCGTGTTTCTATGGAGCCATCCCAAGAGGGGCTTTCGATGTGGCTTACAGAACAACCAATGGGTGTGGTGGACAGCTCAGGGCTCCATTCCCTGAGAAGGAAGGCTGGGGGAGACTGAGAAAAGATGGGAGAGACCTGGGGGTTGAAGAGGAGAGGAGGTTCAGTGGAGTGTATTTGGAAGTCACCCAATGTAGCAATACCAACTATTGACAGTCACATGGATTAGTGAGATATCCACCCAGCCTGCACCTGTAGCATCGACCACGCCCATTTGGGCGTGGTCACAGGTGCAGACCTGAAGGAGAGTGGGTCTGGGACAGATAGCTCTCTCTTGCTTCCAGTCAGGTCACAGAGGGCAGCCTGGGTGAATCCTTGGAGCTGGAACTTGCGGCCGTCACCCGCTTCTTGTGTAAATGCATTCTCCCCGAATAAAGTTACATTAACCTATTTTGTCCCGTGAATCTTGATCCGTGCTTCCACAATGGATGCCACTTAAGTAACAGCTGTATCAAATATACCAAACTCATGCTTAGCGTGGCGTGCTCTAGAGTCCCCTGAACGACCATTCAGTGGCTAGTCAGGATGCTGCCCAGGTTGGTCAGCCAGTCTCATGAAAGCCTGCTGTCCGTCCACGCTGACCTACCCTTCGGGCCTCCTCTCTTGCCGTGACTGCTTGCATGTCCTGATGCAGGCGCCTTCCTGAGCATGCTTATCACTCTCATCCTCTTGCCTAGTGGGCAGCTGGCCAGACTGCCCACCTGTGCAGCCCAGGGCACTCCTATCTAAATGAAGTCCTTCCCGGCCCCTGGTTTCTGTTACAGGTCAGCCCTTACCTTCCTTTCTCTCATTTTATTTTTTGTTTGCTGTTGTGTCATTTATTTGTTTTTGAAACAGGGTGTCACTATATGCTCTCCCTGGCCTAGAATGCACAGTGACCCTCCTCCCTCTATGTCCTGAGTGCTGTTTTTTTATTATTATTAAGATTTTATTTTTAACTATTTCAGTAACTTTGTTAAATGTGTCCTTTGTCTGTTACTGTCATCCCTAACACTCTCTAATGTCCCATCAACCCCACATTTATATCTTTTGGTTTTGTTTTATGAGCCACTGATTGGAACTAGGGCCGTCTAAACAACCCTGGGGTTGGACCCGTCCACTGGAGCCTGGTGGGTTCCCCAGCAGGCATACAACCAAAGACAATGATTTCTCCTTCCCCAGAATCCATCAGTAGCCAGTAGTCAGCAGTGAGGAATGAGGTCCCTATGAGCCCTTCCCTGATCCATGTCTGTCACTGACCACTGACAGGCCCCATTTTGTATAGACCCCGCACAGGTGGTCACAGCTCCTGTGAGACCGGGCAGCTGTGTCGTGCCCTGAGGAAAGGACCTGCAGCTCTTCAGCGTATCTCCCAGCTTTTACATTCTTTCCACCCCTTCTTCTAAGATGCTCCTGAGTCTCAGAGGGGCTGGCGTAAGACTGAGCACCCAACCACCAGAACTCTCATTCCACACGCCGCCACTGGCCCCCCACCCACTGCCTTTCATTACAAAGAGAAGCTTCTCTCGCTAAGGCTGAGACTAGCACTTGTCAGTGCCGAGTGGGTGGGTGGGGCCTGGCAGGCCACTTAAAAATTTTATAATATCTTATTTGTGCACAATCTGCTGTAATCGCATTCACAGCACTACCCTCCGCATCCCTTCCAACACCCTCCAACTAGCTCCTGTCCTACCCTCGTCCCTTCCCCCCACCCTTTCCGGTGTCGCCCGTGTGTGTGTCCATGACTGCAGTAGTAATGTCGCATCCAAATGACAGCATCCTACCACACTTCTCTCCATCCTCCAACTCCTTCAGTCCTTCTGCCATCTCCTCTCAAATATTCCCTCAGCGTCAGAGGGGGTGACGTAGGTGTCCCATATGGAGCTCGTTCTTTTGTGTATGTATGTTTGTGTGTATTCATGAAGGCGTACATAAGTGTGAAATCACATGCATGTATGTCTACATGTATGCGGAGGCCAGGAGACAACCTTAGGTGTGTCATCCTCAGGAACACTGCTTTGAGACAGGGTCACCAATTAGGCTGTATTGGCTGGTCAGTGAGTCCCAGGGATCCTCCTCTTTGCATCTCTCCAGCCTAGGATTACAAGAGTAAATGCCACCATACCTGGCATTTTTTCCTGTTCTGGGGCCAAATACAGGTCCTTGTACTCATGAAGCGAATATTTTACCCAGCGAGTCTCCTCCCTATCTCCTCCTTTCGTCCTTTTCATAGCCCCTTACATCACAGTCATCTGTTGCAGTATCTGCCTCCCCCAAGCAAACTGAGCTCTGTGCAGCAGGGATGTGTCCACTTCCGGCTGTCCTCAGCGTAGCCCTTCACCTACCTCAGAGCAGAGCTGCTGGAAAAGGGACAATGCAATCTCTGCATCTGCGTCAACGCAGGGCACACCCGAGGCCATGATCTTCAGCTTCTAGGTGCATGGCTGGAGAAGCTGAGAGTATCCTGACTGCCCCCGAAAGCATGAAACAGGAAGCCTGGCTCCCCAACTTGGCTCTGCCCACACGCTCCAGGAACCCACCTGTCCCCATCTCCCCGGCATTAGGATAACAGATGAGTGACACCTTGTTCAACTTTTATGTGGGGGTTGGAAATCCAAACTCAGGCCCTCATGCTTGTGTGGAAAACACTTTATGAATCAAGCCATCTCCTCAGCCTATAACTACTTAAAAATTTTTATTCTAGAAAAATCTCAAGCTCATCGGAATTTGAGGCAAAAAGATTAAATGATCCAGACAATTTCAAAGTTTGTGGGTTTTTTCCAGCCAGAGATACGTTAATATATTTTCATTCAGAAAATATATGTGGGTGCTGGTGTGTGTGTGTGTGTGTGTGTGTATGTGTGTGTGTGTGTGTGTGTCCCATAGCTGTCATGTCTAAATTTTAAGTAACCCAAGGACAGAGACAGTGTCTTCTGGCTTGTCCCCCACAAAGAGCCTGGTGCATGACTGATGCTCAATAATTACTTGTTGAGTGAAAGAAAGTGAAGACAGTCTAGTCAATAAGAAAGAGCTGATGTGGCAGCCTTCCCCTGGGCAGCCTCATGACTGGCCCTGACCTTCTGTCAGTTACCAGCAGGGAGGAAGGGGCACGGGGAAGAAGGGACTGAATGGCTAATGCAGGAATCTGCAAAGCACTGGAAATTATTTCCCAGGGTTGTCATGGCCTCCTCCTCCCCACCCCATCAGAGGTTGATTTCCTTCTCCACTCACACACCCAGATTACACACACACACACACACACACACACACACACACACACACACACACGCACACTCATATCCCTGTGAGGGCTTCAGCCACCAATATGGTCATCTTTTTTTAAAAAAATTGTCTGTGTGCGCTCATGTGTGATTGGGTCTGTGTACATGTATGTGCATGTATGTGGGGACTAGAGGTTGACACTGGGTGTCTCCCTGAACCACTTCACCTTATTTGGGAAGGAGTCCCTCACTGAACCTAGAGCTCACCAGCTCAGCTAGACTGACTGGCCAGAGGGTCCTTCAGGGCCCTGTCCCTGTCACCCCAGCACTGGTATTGTAGGCACACACTGCTGTGTTCAGGTTTTTATATGGATGCTGGGGATCCGAACTCAGGTCCTCACACTTCCACTGCAAGCCCTTTACCCACTGAACCCTCTCCTCACCCTTCGACAATGTCATCTTGACTGCTCTTGTCACTTCTGTATTTCTTTTCCCTCCGCGAAGACCTTCACGCTTGCCTGTGTCCTCTAAGACTCAATGCTGAGAACAATGGTCTACCTGACCACCAGGACCTCAGCATCTGTACATGGGAAAATGGGTACCTCAAGGCTCTACACCCCAGGACGGAGGGTCTATTTCACTTCCTTTTATTTTTAGGTGGCTTTCAGACTCACTGGGAATGAGATAGAAGTGATACCACACACATTCTCAATTGAGCTGAACTGGTTGGTGACACATAATGTCTGTCACCCTCAGCTCAGTCAGTGGCCAGTCTGCCCCCTAGAAAACTTGAGTGACACTGAGTCTAGCCAGCTCCAAGCAACATGCCAGCATACCTGAGATGCAGAAGCAAGTGTAGCCAACATCAGCTGAGCTCAGAGCCCTCCAACTGGGGCTAGACCTGGGAATGATGACCAAGAGTGGTTGCTTCAAGTCTCTGGGTCTTTGGGTGCATTGGGGCACAGCCCTGATCTTCCAGCTCTGCGTCTTTGTTCTGTACAATGCCCACAAAACACACAGTTTCTCCACCCTCGCTGTCACCACGCCCCAGAGCTCTGCTACTCTCTTACTTGCCTGTCTGTTTGATTTTGAGACAGAGTCTCACCATGTAGCCCTAGCTAGCCCAAACTTGCTATGTAGGTCAGGTTGGCCTTGAACGCGTACAGATATGGCTGCTTCTGCCTCCCCAGTGGTGCAATTGAGCATGTGCGCCACCATCCCTGCTCTTCCTCACCCTCTTCCCCACAGCACTGTTCTTCATGTTCACACCACTGTCAGCTTTCTCCCCGCGTCTCCCTGCTCTGCCCTTCCTGCCTCTCCTTCTCTCCCAATCCCACCTAGGACCACCAGCAGTCACGCTGTCCTCACCCTCATCCTTCCATCCCATCCTTGAAAGAAACCCATTCCTGGTGACCCAGCGTTCACTTTCTTACTTCCCACACTTCCTGAAGCTGCTTCTGGAAATGGTCTAACCTCATTAGGTGGCTTTCTCACAAGTATACTGTCACCAGCCCTCCTCTGCTTCCTCTGAAGCATGGCTGAGACAGAAATGGCATGAAGGGTCATTGCTCTTCCTCAGTGGGATGCTCTTCTATCTTTAATTTTTTGTGAGCCATGATGTGGGTGCTGGGAATTGAACTCAGGACCTCTGAAAGAGCAGTCAGTGCTCTTAACCTCTGTGCCATCTCTTCAGCCCCTGCCTTTAATCTTTGTTTATTATTATTGTTTGCAAATGATGTGTGGGGTGGGGCACATGTGCCACAGAGCATGTGTGGAGGACACAGGACAACTTTGTGGAGTTGGTCCACTCTCTTCCACCTTTACCTGGCTTCCAGGGATTGAACTCAGGTCTCCAGGCTTGTAAAGCAAGCTCCTTTACTCACTGGGCCATCTCAGCACCTACCCCCAAGATACACAATGTGTATATAAAGATACAGACACACGCACAGAACAAATAAATAAAATACAATAAAAGTGTTTCTAAAGAGAGCTAGCATTGGATTACACAAGTCAAATCCAACACTCAAGAGGCTGAGGCAGAAGGATCATGAGTTCATGGCTGGCTTGTACAGCATAATGCAACGAAGTATTAATTACTTAACTGGTTAGAGACAAAAAGGAAAGAGACAATAGAACAAGAAGAAGAGAGCATCCAAGTTGAGATGCCCCAGTGGCTAAGAGCAAAGAAGACACAAGTTTGAATCCACAGTACCCACATTAAAGTTGGATGTGACCATGGGCACCCATTCCTCCAGCGGCAGAGCAGAAACAGGAGCATTCCTGGGGGTTTCCATCCAGCTAAAACCTAGCAAGCTTCAGGCTCAGTGACAGAACATATCTCAAGAGATTAAGGTGGAACGTGATAGGTCAGACACATGATGACTTCCTTTGGCTGCTGCATGCATGCACACAAGTACACACCCACAGCGTGCACACACACACACACGCACACACACACGCACACACACACACACGGCATTCCAGAAGAGATACAAAGAAAACAGAATATAAGAGTCAAAAAAAGGAAGCAAAAGACAGAAAATGCCCGAGAGAAGGTAAGCAGGAAATGTAGAACAAGAGAATGGGCTTAGCTTCCCTCCTAGGAATCTTTCCTGGTACCTGGAGGTGCTGAGCATGACAGAGTGGGAGGGAGTTAGACAGGGAGAGAGAAAGGACAGAAGGAGTACATGGTCTGGGAGAAAGAGCAAGGCAGGGCCATGTCCACCCAGGCCAGCCCCCAGTGGCGTGGTGGCCCACTCCCTCTTCCTGGTATCCGCAGATAGATGATGGCTGGACGCAGGCTGGAGCTGACCAAGCAGGAGAGCAGGGCAGCGTGGGAGAGCTGTTATGTGGGAGCCTGCTTAGCAACCTGGAGAAGCGGCCTCGGGTGCCCCTCCCTTTCTTATAAAGCGTGGAAAGACCTGAGGAAAAGCATGCTGCCTTGGGAGAGCCACACAAACGCTCAGCCTTGCAAAGGGAGGCTATCCGCCCAGGTTACCCTGGCACAAGCACCTCCCCCCACAGCCATTGGCCGTTCCTACCACAGCTCCCCCTCCTCAGCACTCCTCTTACCAAGAGAGTGATCTCTCCAGCTTCCAACAGACTCTCCCTGCTCTCTAGACAAAGGTCACAGGCACTGGGATCTCCTGCACACCAGGTTCACAGGCTCATGCCACCTTCTACTTCTTAGGTGATGCCAGACAAGCCCTTGCTCCTTTGGATCTTAACGTTCTTCATCAGAAATGTTGAAGCGCTGCTCTACAGCAGGTGTCAGAGTTGAATGGAGTAGCTGAGACCATCTGATTGAGAAGTGCACAATCAGAACAGCACACACAAGTGATCTGTCCAGGCCCCCAGGAGATAGCAAAGCCGCTCTGCCAACTTAGTGCTTAGCTCCTCCTATGCCCTGCTCACTGTCTCACACCTCTCACCCTTGTTCTCTCTGGGCAAGACTCATCTTTCCATACAACCATGCAGATGGAGGGGAGAGCAAGGCTCAGGAACCATGCCCAGGACCCAGGGAGGAAGCAGACCTTCTAGGAGCATCTCAGAGATCTGCTCAAGGCTAGAGCCCTTTGCCAGACCTGTGCCAGGGCAGAGCTGGAGGGAACACATAGTGACAGGCAGTAGCCTAGGAGTGCTTGTGCCATTTTACCCAGGAAACTAATTCTGGAGACTGTCAACTGGGAGGGGCAGTTAACTGAGGACTCTGACCTAGACCCCAAGTATCTAAGAACATCTAAGAGGGAGCAGGCCAACTGTAGGACAGAGGAGGAGTCTCTTTGAGCTGAGAAACCCACCCACCCCATGCCAATGCTGCACCCACCCAACAGCTCCTCAAACAACAAAAGCAAACGACCAGCTGCCTTGGGTCTGGCAGGGGCAGAAGGCCTGAGACAAGTGTGAGGAGGGAAGAGGTTCTGTCCATAAACATCTCAATAGCGTGATTAACTGAGCATCGCAAATTGTAACCCTTTCCTTTAATGCACTTTCCCTGAATTACCGCAGGAGCCGGCGGCCGAGGAGCCCCGTACAAATTGCTGGAATGGGCAGTTAAGCGGGGAGGTCGGAGGTTAAATGAACACGGTTGTTTATGAAGACACAGCCCGAATCCATTTGCATTTTAATATTCTCTCAGTGAGACGGAAAGCCACTTTGAGGACAGCTTGTTTGGAAATCCCATTAACGGGTTATTTATGGGGCTCGTGGCTGCGTGACCCTTGCCCTTGTTTTGTTAAACATGAACCAGACATGAATCAGACGGGCAGCGGGCTAGCTGCTATTGTTTCCTGTAGCAGGAAATGTCATCGGATTCGATTATTCTGAGGCTGACACCTACTGAATTATCACCCTCATAATGCTCAATTTTCCCTTTTTTCCCCTTTGGTCAACCTGATTATTTCTGTCTTTGTAGAAAGCCGGCTTTCGGAGAAGCCATTTCCCTGCCATTGGCTGTCAAGCAGGCTGGACGAGACCCTGAGAGGCTGCTGGCTAGGCAGATGCGGAGGCACAGGTAGCATTCAGGAGGGACTGCATACCCGATAGCTGGTGGCCTCTGCATCCCACTTTTGGGAATGGGCTCCAGGGCTCTATCATCTAGACCCTTTGATCAACATTAAAACTTACTTATCGTAAAAAAAAAATATGACTTGGAAACTTATTGTAAAGGGGCAGGGAGGGGGCATGTCAAGAAATGTCTGGCACTGTGGGTTTCCCCATGAGAAGGTCTGTAGACTAAGAAGGTTGATTTTAGCTACTGGATAAAATAGAGCAGGGAAGTGAAGGAGTACCCTGCCTTATGTACAAACGTTTGCCATATGGAAATAAACTCACCAGGTTTGGGATGGATTCACCTTAAGATAGACATCATCCTAAAATAAAACAAGATTCGGGTATCCCAGGCCCTGAGACTGTAGCTAAGGCCTGGGGCCGTCTCTCTTCCCACTATCTGTTCACCACTCAGGATGAGAAAAGTCACTCCACAGGCTGACTTCGCCGGTTCTCAGGAGCCAGGTGTTGACCTGTCTGACTGTCCAGATCGATGCTTCTCAGCCCCACGTTCAGCTCTGTTCATTAAGCATGACTGAACAGGTAGGCCTGGGAGCCTCAGCTGAGCACTGGGGAAGGCAAGAGAATCAGACTGAGCCCATCACCTCTCCCCTCCCCTCCTCCTCTGCCATCTAAGCCATCATTCCAGTGCAAACTTCAAAAAAGCCTCCCCCAAATACCCAGACACCCAAAGACAGACTCAAGAGCTCAAGGCAGCAGTCTGCTAGAAAAAGGAGTTGACACTTAAACTCTAGAGTTTGTTTCTCAGTGACATGAAAGGCTCACATGGCACCTATTGGCCAGAATAAAAGAAATGCTAGACCCCAAGAAAGACCCTTGTGGCTGGAGCCCGGATAGCGACAACACGGCACACTTTCCCTGAACCTCTTTCCAGGAGCCCTAACTCTGCTGCACCCCTACTTCACACCATCAAGGTCAAGTCAAGAAGTAAATCCAGGTGGGGCAGCCTTCCTCAAAGGTTTTGGGATGGGTGTGAGACCAGGCCTGTGGACTGGATACATGATCTACGCAGCAGGATCCCAGGCTGTCTTGTGGGGCAAAGCTGCAGCTGATGTAGAGAGAGGTAGCTGGCTTGTCGCAGCCTGGAGTGGCTGCTTTTCCTTCAGCATCCTCACCCCCTCCTCCTTCACCTCCCAAGTGCACTGTTTGTTCTTGAATCCTCATCCTGAGGGGGAGGGGGCACCTGAACTCAGCAGTTGAGCCACTCAAGGTAGTACCCAGAGGGGGTCAACCCAGGCTCCTAGGCCTGAGCAGGCCCTGGGCTCCCTGCTCAGGTGCAGGGCCTGCTGTGAGAACACCTGCTTCTCCTTGGGAACTCTCTTCCCACCACTTCCTGCAAAAGCCTTTTCGACCAAGTTTAAAATAGATCTCTCCTTATGAATTGGCCGTCTGAGGAATTCTCCTCCAGTGGTTAATTCAATCTTAATAGACGCTGATTTTTTTTCTCCCAGAAGAAAAGGGAACAATGCATCTTTAGAACGGGTTTATAAGTGTCATGATTTTTCTACTAATTTACGCTGCATTCTCTGCTTTAAAATGTGAAATTACCTCATTGTGTCTCTGAATATCCTCCATGCTTGGGCCTGAAATTAAGCTCGCCGTAGAGGAGCCTAAATGACCACAATTTGCTGTGTGAAATGCCCTGATTGCAAGAGCAATCCCAAGCAATCCCCAGCCCCGGCGCAGCCCAGCTCACTTGAGCTGATTGGCCTCTCCTCCTGGCTTTGCCAAATACACCTGGAGCTACCTGCTGCGGGGGGAGGGGTGGCAGAGAAGTCACCCTCCAGTCCTATCGTCTCCTGTCCCCACAAGCAGACACTGACTTCTAGCTCACCTCTGGGGACTCAAAGAGCATATTCTTCTTGCTCAGCCCCCCAAACTTCTGCCAAATAAACAGCATCCACAGATAAGTACCGCCTGCAATCACCAAGCCACTTTGGACCAAGCCTCCAGTGGCATCATGATCACCCCTCATTCCTTTAGGGGGCTCTGTGATGTCATCTCTTCTCCCAGATCTTAGCCTGTCGCGAAGTGCAGTCCTGTGCCTGCTAGGTCCTTTGATGCCAGCCTTTAGCTACTTCAACACCTGCGATCAGACTCCTCAAGTTCAAATGCAAGCACCACCTCATTCTGTCTGTTTGAATAAATCAGACTGCTTCTCAGTGTCTCCTCCATTTCCTCCTCTGTAAGTGGAGACACTCAGAAACAGAAGGGTCAGCAGGACTGATTGAACGAAGGCAACAAAGAGCTTAACAGTTTGATGGGTCTCTTTCCACATATCCAGAGGTAGGAGAATTCTGACTTTATTTCCCATGACACACCCTTCAAGTAGAAAGTCTGCTTATAATGATAAGTGTGTGTGTGTGTGTGTGTGTGTGTGTGTATGTGTGTAGATCCCAGATGACAACCTATGTGTTGCTCCTTTAGGAGTCATCTCTATTTTTGAGACAGGCTCCATCATTAGACTGCCCCCCCCACCTGCTGCCAGTTAGCCTAGGCTAGACTGGCTAGTGAACCTCAGCAATCTGCCTCTCTCCATCTCTCCAGAGTTAGGATTACAAGGACATGCTACCCTGCCCAGCTTTTTACAGGGGTGCTGGGGATTAAACATGAGTCATGTTTGTACAAGTTACTATCTACCCAGTCCAGTGAGAATAACTTTTTTTCTTTTAGTTTTTCGATACATGGTTTCTCTGTATCTTTGGAGCCTGCCCTGGAACTAAACTCACAAAGATCCACCTGTCTCTGCCTCCCAAGTGTTGGGATTAAAGGCCGGTGTGTGGCATGCCCCACCATTGCCCATCTGAGAATAATTTTTGTTTGGGAGAAAGATTTTTGTTTGGGAGAAAAATTTTTGTTTGGGAGGAAAAGAGTTGACTTGGAAGGATGGAGAAACCGAGGCTGTCTCAGCCCATCCCAGCTCAGCCTTTCCCCGTTGGCACAAGGCAAACATACCTGATATTTTAATTAAGTTCCTAAGTCAGGGATCCTGGTCCTTAGCCTTGAACCACAGATGACACCAAACCCAGCACCAGAGCTCCGCCCAGACTTATCTGCTTGGGATGTCATCCATCCTTCACCCAGTTGTCCTCAGATTCTAGCAGCTTCTCCCAGATTCCTGGGACCTTACAGCCATTTTCATACAGTGATAGAGATAGCCAGTGGCTTCTGTCCCCATGTCCCATCAGCCTGGCTTTCATCTTCCAAGCTTCCCAGGAGCAACAGAGCCGCAGAGACCACCACCACCCTGCATTGACTGTGCCATTCTTGCTGGTCCCTAATGCTAGATCCTAGAATGGAACTCAGGAAGGCTCTCATGAGTGTGGCTCCAGCCAGTGTCCTAGCTTCCTGGAACTGATGTGACAAAGCACCCAGTTAGAACAGCTTGAATGACAGCTTCTAGAAACCAAAGTTCAAGATCAAGATTTTAGGGGATGGTGAGGGAGCCCTTAGGGCAGCTTCCAGGCCCCTTTCCACCAGCTTCTGGTAGTTCGTGGCAATCTTGGGCAATGCTAGGCTCCTGCACACATCACCCCAACCTCTGCCTTCATCTTTGTACAAGATCCATGTGTGTTTCTGTCTCTCCAGATTTCCCCTTTTTAACAGGACACTAGTCAAATTAGATTAAGACTGATCCTGGCAATATCATTTACATTTGATTACCTCTATAAAGACCCAAGCTTCCAGTAAGGACACAGTCTAAGATATTTTGGACTAAGATTTCAACAACAACAAAGGATTTCAACAAACAAATTTTAGGGAGCCACAATTCAACCCATAACGGCCAGGTATCCCCTTAAAGAGGAGAAGATTTGCATAGTTCAGCCAGCAACTGAGTAGAGTAACAGAAGAACTCCAACTCAGGACCCTCAAACCCACGTTGTCTCAGAACTCTTGAAAGTCTGAGCTTAGTCAGGGTTGGAGGGACCTAAGGGACTTGGTCGTGATCCAGTAGGGATTTAGTGACAGTTCTCTCTCAAGTCCCATCTAGCCAAAGACTCTGGGCCCATACACTACAGCTCACACTGAGCACTAATGGCCAACCAGACTACACCAAAGAGCTTTTTAACAAACATCATTCTTCTCCCTCTGCAGTGCCAGCAGTGGGAGTGACTCACGTACAGTGAATCCGATGTCTAAATGCAGCATTAAAATGATTTTAATGCTCACCTTCAAGTGCCAAAGCTTGGGTCTCCCATCCCGTTGCGTGCAGCCCGTCTCTCCAATGTGGGAGTTGGGAGCCTGAAAGCCAATTTTGTTAATGCTACTGGGAGGAGCAAGCGGGTCTGGAAACTCATCCATCATCTTCACACCCCCTGGATGGACTTGGAAGATAAAGCTTTCATCTTCCTTGCCTGGTGGAACCTCTTCAATTAGGGTGGGAGGGAGGTGGGTGGGAGCAGAGACAGGCACCCTGAGGAGTGAAGGAAGGAGACAGAAAGCCGTCCTGTGTGAAAGAGCCTGGAGAGGCTGGGGAAAGGCAGCTGCTCCATCCTGAAAAGTTAAGGAGCCAAGGGCACCTAGCTGGGGTGGTTCCAGGGCAGGCCCTGGGAGAGCGAGCAGAGGAGGCAGGAAATGGCAGTATCAGGAGCTGTCCTAGGCTGTGTGCTCCCTCCTCAGTGAGGAGGGGGACAACAGTGTCCTACCATTTGACTGGAGAGAGAACACTAAGCCACTGGAATAGGGGTAGAGAAGTGAAGGTTTACAACCATGACTCAACTAAGTGTCCCCTGGCCCCAGTGTCACTCCCCTCAGCCTGGAATAATCAGGCCTGTCCTTAGGTTTTGGAAAGCAGAGAGGGCCATGCAGTTCCAACTTGAGCTTCCCCAATACAGGCACCGGGACTGATGGAGGAACAAGTGGACAGAGCTCTGTTCGGCCTTTCTGTGTTTTCACTTGTGTGGGGGAGGCAGCCTCCCCTCCAGCATATGGACAGAGAGAGGCTACTAGAATCAGAACCTAGTTGGGTAGTCCTTCGGTGATGCTGGAGAGGACCTACAGGACTACCCAGAGCAATAAAAAGCAGAGATGACCTGAATTTGTGCTTGGGGTAGAGTGTTCATCCTGCCACCATGTCTTCCCCCTGACATATTGTCACCTGCTATGTCTGGACTCTCCCTGAATCGACTGATTATTGATCATTCTGCCAATAAGTCAATGAGGGATTTACTGAGCCATATCCACTAGGTACTTACTGGGTGTTGCCCTCTGCCTGCCAGTCAAGAAGCATTTGCAGCAGTAGCAGTGTCCCTTACGGTGCATTCTAGACGCCATATGTGCTAACTCATTGCCTCTTTCTTCTGTTTCAGCTTTCATCTCTCTCTGCCTCCATCCTTGAGCTCCTAACACCCATCTGCCTACCACAGTGTTTCATATCTCATGCCCATGTTGTTTCCTTGCCCAGAGCACCCTGCCTATCCTTCTTCAGCAGGCTCATTCTGCAGATGCCCACTGAGGGGTCCTTTCCCCTGGAAACCCACCAAAGCCCCAGCCTGATCTCAGAGTTCCTCCTGCCTATTCTCAACAGTGCCTGGCTAAGAAGACAAGTGGGTCCTGATGATCCCCTGGCTTCACCGAGGCAGACATCATTAATGGATCATGCCATGATTCGGAGAACTTTACTGGGATTAGCTGGAACTGCCTACCTTGACAGTCTAAAGTGGGTGATTAAGTCAGACAATGGATCATGGAGCTCAGCCTAAGACCTGGCATATTCATCACTGCTGCTTTACAAGGTCCCTGGCGTATCCAGCCCCACCCCACCCTGTCACCTAGTGGAACTGGTGGTGGTGGGGGGATGAATGTAACAGATTAAGAATGGAACAAGAAGGCAAGGGACCATTTCTAGAAAAGGACACGACCTCACAAGGGAACAAAAACAAGTGACCCTTCTCCTCTGCTTGCAGCCAGGGTGGGCTGTAACTGTCTGCATCAGAAAAGAACTGGGGGTCCTGGAAAGCCAGTGGGCCAAGCATCTGTCCTCACTTCCCTGTTTCCTACTTGTCATCAGTGCTCACCTCTGCCAGGTCCCTCGAGTGCAACCAGCACTGTGCATGGAGCATGCTGCTCATGGTGCCGTCCTCCAGACCACTCACTGTCACCCCACTTTTCATGGGAAAATGAAGCCAGATGTCCACATGTCCCACTCTGCAGCTCAGCAAGGGTTAAGCTCTGGAAGAGATTCAGCTATGGAACCTTTGGTCAGCTGGTCACTGGAATAAAAACTAGATGGTGTGTGTGTGTGTGTGTGTGTGTGTGTGTGTGTGTGGTAATGGTGTGTGTGGTAATGGTGTGTGTGTATGTGTGGTGATGGTGTGTGTGTTTGTGTGTTTGTGTGCGCGCGCGCGTGTGGTGATGGGGGGGGAGCAGGGATAACAATGCAAGCTGGGGACTGAGCAGAATGTTATACACAAATCCTAAAGATTTCACAATGACATATATAGATAGAAAATAAACTACTCCAAAGCAAAAAAGTACAGAAACTAAATAGTATGTGCTCAGCACCTCACCCACAGACACCAACCTGATTTCTGCCCTCCTACCTCTCTGGCTTCTGTTGCCCCCCCCCCCCCACCTTCAGAAAGAAGAGAGGGGCAGGAGGCTCCCTCACCTCAGGGTCTTCTGCAGTGGGAGTCTCCTCTTTTTCTGAAGACAGAGCAGTTTTCCTAGTGCTCTATGTAAATGAGCTGTTTGTGAATGTGCATCTGTAATTGAGGAGCTGTCACGTAGGGCTGGGGGGTGGCTGGGATGGAGGAGGACAATAGATTCTGTGCTCTGAGGTCAGGCGTGGGGGGAGGGGACTGCTAGCTCTGGAGGCTTGGGGAGGGAAGGAGCCAGATGCAGAGGTCGGAGACAGCAAGCAAGGATGAGGCCCAGGCTCCAATCTTGCTGAGACCTGGGCCTCAGGCACTGAGGTGGTAAAGAGCCGGGGGCCTGTGGTGACAGCTGGGGTGGGGGGGAGTGCCATGTGCCAGGGTGAGGAAGAGAGGCCTGGGGCACTGGGGCAGCTGGGGCACACCCTGGGTGCCAGGAAGAAGCCGCAAGGCGGCCTAGGAGCTGCTGCTTTGGAAATGAGGGAAGACTCCTGTAACCAGGGCTGTGTGTTAGCCACGGTGCTGTGAGGGACCCGGTTGCCCTGTGCAGGGGCTCTCTGCAGAAGGGACCCACTCAGGTCTCACAAAGCACTGCGCTCCACGCTGCATGTCACAATATTCAGTCCATGGTAGTTTACGATCTAAGAATTCAACTGAAGCTAAAACAAAACCACTTCATTTAGGCTAAGTAAAAACTGGGGTGAGGGTATGACAAGATCCTGGAATAATATCAGAACCTCAGAGGAATGTGGAGCCAGCACAAACTTCTCTCCATCCTGGACAGGGCTCCTTGAGGTGCCTCTGAAGACCAGCCCCACCCCAAATCTACAGATCCAAAAGGCAACCTCACCATCCCTGAAGCCTGCCACTAAATGCCCTGGAAATGTGAGGAGCCAAGGGAAGCTCAAGAGCTATCTGGTCTCCTCAGCACAGGTCCAGGCCTGGGCTTTGTGTGGCAGCTCTTGGCTCACTCACCACAGGCTCATTCAATCCATCGGAGGAGTGCTTGGAGGAGTGCTTCTGCTCTAGGCAGTGAGAGGGCTACAACAGGCTCCGCCCACCCAAGCTTCTCTACCTGGGAGAGACCCACAAGAAGTCAGGGATCCCAAACACTGGCTGTGCGGCAAAGGCAAAGAGTGACATGCCAGGTGACAGGAATGAATGACCCTCTCTACGGTAGCCAGAGAAGGCACCCTGAAGAAAATGAAGGAGACGGACACTCAGGTATGTAAGGGGCTACAGGCTGAGAGAGAAGCAGTTCCCACGCCCTGGTGAATGGCAGAAAGGATCCTTTAACCAGGCAGAGGCTTTCCAGGATTTGGTGGCTTTAATATGGGTGAACGCCAGAAGGTCATGGTCACACAAACATCACACAAATGTCCCCTGGAGTCAGTGGCTTCGTGCTCTTGCCTCAAAGAGTGAAATTCTAGAACAGGGGGATGAGTATAAAGGTTTCTATCTTACAACTACAGGCGGGAACTTGAGAGAAGAAAAGAAGACAGAGACCCTCCCTGTGTGTAAGGAGCAGGGCCCAGGAAATGGGGCACCATCAAGTGTCCCCACCTAAGGTTTAGTAAGGCTTTTGCTGAACGGAGGCAGGAGGCAAGGTGAGCATGAAGGATGAGCTGGTTGGTCCAGTCACCCTTCCACAAGGTGTCCTGGAGTTTCTCTGTGACTGTCACATCCTCACGCCATTTCCAGGCAGGGGAGATCTTTCAGGTTGTGTAAGAGGAGAAGAAAAATGGCAAGAAACCAGATCAGGAACCAAAGCTGCCTTCTGGCATTCTCGGCCGTGGGCCAACACAGAACCAAAGACACCTCTGGCTTCTGACCAAAGACGAGAATCAAGGAGTTATTCTCTTTTTCTATGTGTACATGGGTGGGAAAGCTTGAGTATACATAAGTGCATATGCCTGGGGACTCCAGAAGGATTCCTCAGAGTGAGTATGGAGGAGGGGGAATGCCCCACATAGGCGATAGGAACCAAATTTGGGTCCTCTGCAGGGGCAGTATTTGCTCTAAGCCACTGAACTGTGTCTCCAACCCCTAAAGACAAGAACTCCAACTGCTGGCTTTGGGGATCCTTGCTGAGAGTCTCTACCCCTGTACTCCATCCCTGGATGAAAGGATGGTTGAGGAAATGCAGGGAACTAGAAAAAAGCTGGTCTTGTTGAGAGGAGAATGGTTAGTGAAATAAAGGGCATCAGACTAGGCCGGGGCTGTAGGCTCCTGAGAGGTTGTAGGGTTCTGGGTCAAGCAATGCTTTATGACCCCTCCCTCACAGGATGTCCTAAGCATGTTTTCAAGTTCCCTGAGCCCCACTCCTGTTTCATTTACCCCAGCTTCTGCTGTGTTGACAGGCTCCAAGTGAGCTGCACACCAGACCTGCAGCCTAAGACTCCTCCGGGCCTCTGGATACCCTGCCTGTGCCCAGCATGTCATACCCAAAGGCTTGAATTCTGCAATCAGGCTCCCTAAATAAATGAATGAGCGGCACCATCCACCAGGGCAGGAGAGCCGGCAGGCCGTGGGGCGAGCTTTCACGGATAAACGAAAACCTGGGGATAAGTTCTGTCTGCGACTTGCCCTGTCACTAGCTCTTCTCTTATCTTTTCAGATATGGCACCTGGAAGAAGTGCTGAGACCAAGCCTACACTTACTACAAAGCCGTGGGTTAATCAGGCTCAGTGTTGCGCTCACCACATTTGTTCACCTGCTCTCCCTACCTCACTCTCCTCCATCTCACTACCCTGGATTACACACCCCACTAATGTGATATGGTAAGTGCTCGGCTGAAACTTCCAGCCCTCTCAAGGGAATCTACAGCAAAGAAAAGGTGCCAAGAGTCCAGTTCTGAATTCTTGGCTGCAGTGGCTCTTCCCCTGATGTTGCCAGCAGCCCAAGAGCCCACCTAAAGCATACTACACGTGGGCACAAACCCAGCTTATACAGGACATGTCATCATTCCTCGGCTACAGGGTATTTAAACTCCCTGCTTTAGTTCAGAGGCATGATTCTCCTGCCCCTTCCCCCCTACCCCCACTCTCTGGGGGCTGGAGGACTCACCTAGGAGTTTCTTTGCTCAAAATAAACCTGTTCTTTTACTTTTCCAATTCAGCTTGATCTGGCTTACTATGTCGGCAGAGAAACACACTATCAAGGTACAAAAAACATTAATAAGCTCAAAGCCAGGGCCTCTTTTCTGAGAATCTTGATTAATGTAGTTGATAGTAAGGCAGCATCCTAGAGAGTAGTTTTAGAGATAAGATTTAGGAGTTGCCTCTTCCATCCATCTAAAGACGGAAAGGACCTTATTGCTGGTAGATGGTGGGACAGTGACTGCCTATGAATGCAGTTTCGCAAATACTTAACTGTAGATCATAAGGTTTAGGAGGTACATGATTTAAATATGAAATGTCCCCCCACAGGTTCTCATGTTAATGGCTTGGTCTCCAACTGGTGACACTATTTTGGAAGGTGCTGGCAACTTTAATTAAAAGGGTCTAACTGCATGAAGTCACTGGGAGCATGTCTTCAGGAACAATATCTTGCTCTTACCCCTCTCAGTCCCTATCCTTGCTTCCTGGCCACCATGAGGGACCATTTCTTTGCCACTACACCCTTCCCACCCTGGCTGTCCATCTTACAAAAAGCTCACAATGATGATGTGAAACTTCTGGGAATACAAGCTAAACTTAACCTTTTCCTGTAAAAGTGTTCCTCTCCGGTACTTGCCGGATGAAAAATCTGATTAGCATATGGAGGGAGGTGAAAAAATGGGTTGGCAGAGGCTGAATTTACCAGGCTCCCTTTGGGGCCACCTACCAACTCCCAAATCATGATACGGAAACTTCTTATTAGTTATGAATGCTTGACCTAGCTTAGGCTCATTTCTGGCTAGCTCTTTTAACTTAAATTAACCTGTTTCTCTTTACCTACCTTTTGGCTTGCGCCTTTTTACTTTTCTTTCTGTCTGTATATCTTACTTTCCTACTCTCTTTCTTTCTGTCTGTCTGTCTGTCTAGCAACTGCCTAGCTTCTGGTCCCATGTGTGTTCCTTCCTCCTGTTCTTCTCCCAAGCCTAGATTTCTCCTCCTATTTATTCTCTCTGCCCACCAGCCCTGCCTATCCCTCTCCTGCTTAGCTATTGGTCATTCAGCTTTTTATTAGACCAATCAGATGCCTTAGGCAGGCAAGGTGAAACAAATGCAACACATCTTTACATAATTAAACAAATGCAGCATAAACAAATGTGACACATCTTTGCCTAGTTAACATAATATTCCACAACAGCTGAAGGGCTTCATTTTTTGTTGGTTTAGAAGAAATTATAATGATTGTGGAGGGGAAATGGCTACTTTTGATAATCTTAAAAAGCCTCGCAAAAGTAAAAATGGTGGATGTAGGGAAGTTAATCATTGAGGACATACTTAGGAGACCAGGGGGAGGATCCCATGACATTTTAAAAAAATACACATTGCCAGGAGCCACAAGGTAGGATGTGCTGAAACTTGGACCAAGAATCTAATTATAAGGGATAGCCCAACAAAGAAAATGAATGCCTAGTCTCACAAATGATTTATAGACTCTGACAGGTAAAAGTTGAAACCCTGACCACAGTACATGAGGACACTCATATAGAAAAGCCTGGAAGCCTTGAACTCCAGGTCCCTCTTACACCCTTTATGGCAGAAGAGACAGCTCTTCCCCTTTGTCAATTGAGAACAGCCTCCCAGAGAGCATGAAGTGACACCACCCGCAGCAGAGACTGTCATGAGGAGCATTCAGAAAGCAGGATGCTTGAGACCTGAGAGTTACTAGAAGGCAACCCAGGACACCAGGGAAGTGAGACTCAAGGCTATGAGAAGGGTCATGTCTCCATCTATGGAAACCACCAGGAACCGGGCCAGGGCAGTGTTGGAGAAAGAGTTCCCAGGGCTTAAGCATCTTCAGGAAAAGTGAAGGAGAGTGGCTAGAGGTCTATAAATGCAAGGATAAGAAGCCTCAAAGGGTCTGGTGGCTTCAAAGCAGCGGTTTGGGAGAATGCATGGGAATGAGTGTCACGAGAGCATCATGGTGGAGTGAGGAGG